TACAGTTCTGTGCATAAAAAGGCAAGAACTTACCGTAACAGACCGTTTCATTGGCTAATTCCTCACGTCAAGTTGAACGCCTGTTGTATAAAAACTCTTCCAGATCCTAGTGTAGTAAAGACAAGTAAAACGAAATTTTGAACTATAAAAACGAAACGAAATAGGATCGGGGTTTTAATCAGATTGCTCAAGGGGACTATCCCGAGTCTCAAAAATTAAAGTCCGAGTACGTATGAAATTTAAGCACCAAAATATATAGGAATTGTGTATTGACCTTGTCTCAAAATTTCAGCTCAAAATATTGAGTCGTTTGGACGTGAACGCCAAAACTGCTTATCCGGACACGTAACTCTTTTAAGATTTCGGGTCAATTTTTTCGTTGGGTGACCTGATAATTGATTCCCGTTTCTTGAAAGGTCTATACAGTGAATGACCCATGTGCTGTACTTGATAACGGACGGTAAATTTCACCTACATATTATTTTTTATTAAAAAAAGGTCTGGTTTTATCCAGACACCGTATAATACAGTTTGAGACACCAGTCTCCATTTTCAGATGAAGACTGACGGATTTAAGTTGTTTGCAAACGTATCACAAATATTGAGTTACTTGCTCGGCCCGTAGGTAGAGGGTTTTGGGGCATTTTAACACAAAATTAACCAGATTTATTCTCCAAAAAATTATCGGGATTGGCCCTTTAAGCTCGAGATCATTAAACAACTTAAAATACAGACAAGCTCGCACGTGCTTAGCAATGAAATACGTCACGCGTGTACAAAATTTCAACTAGTATAAATAATGTACGCTTGGACATTGCCCTTACCATTATTTGAAATAATAGTACGCCAACATCAAAGGATGACGTCACATCTGTATTTTAAAACCCCTTTATTTATACTGGAATTGTTGTTTCTCGCTTGTCTAATATGGGATGTGTTTAATTAGTGTACTGGCCCAACCGAGCAACTTGACTGTAATTAGATTTTAGACGCAATTGCAAATGAATGAAATAATTAACACGAACAAATTTAACGTAGGATCAACCCAATTCAATACTGTAATATGGCCAAAATCAACGAGGTTTTACCCATTTAAGCACATGTAATGTTAATTGAAGAACCAAACAGTATAACATCCCTGATTTTCGCCCGCGTTAGTTTATGTTCGCCATATTATAATATGAAAGACTTTTATTAATATTAATTTCAATTAAAACCATCTGTACTAGCCCTGTTATCTTTTCAAAAGCAATACGTGCCTATCTGTTTAGTTGGCGACACAAGAAATTACCATTTACAGGCCCGGCGGAGTGTCCCCCCCCCCCCCCAATAATTTGGCCGCAAGTACTCTTTTCTCCAGGTTATTGCACGCACGTAACTATTCAATAAAAACAAGAGGCTTGATTTTAATATGGGAGTGAGTAGAAGTGAGACTTCTAGAACGTAGACTTTCAGAAGAAGAAAACCCTGCTACGACTGAGCTCTGGGTTAAGAGACCTACGGTTGCGAGGGTCGCGATTAAATAACTGAACAACCGATCTTTATTTCAAGTCCATCTCACGTCTGTTGTATCCCTTATCCATCAAATAATCCACTGCTATCAATTATGACCAGTTAAAACAAGCGGTTGTCAATCAAGATGTGCCCACATTTTGCAAGAAATGGATAGGGAAGAGGTAAAATCAATAGGGTTCTCATTCAAGATTTTTTGATCCTTAACATATTTAGGTTTCAACAAAATTGGACAACAATGGTAGCGCCCATGGGCCTATAAAACCTGTACATATTTCAAATTTTGAGTGAAAAGCAGGGGTTATAGCTCTAGAATGTTAAGGTCTGATGCTACCAAAGTCAAACTCATCCAAGAATTTTTGATCCTTAACACACAGTTTAAGTTTCATCGTGAAAGATCAACAAACTTCATTCATGTAAAAGGCAGGGGCAGATGCACACGATAATTGAACTCACCCAAGTATAGTGATACCCGTTTTAAGTTTCATCTAAATCCAGTTTATAATTGTGACATCTAGATGGTCCACAACCTGGGTATTACATTCTTTTATTATACTATTTAGAATTTCGTAACAGGGGAGTGGTTATTTGACGGGGAAGTTGTGGTCCGATTTTGAGGAAATAATTATGGTGTAATCTATAATACACGCTAGCCCCAATATCGAAAGGAACCCAGATCTTTGGATTGTAAATATATACTATTCAAAAAAAGTAGGGGATATCTGATTTTTAAGTGTTATTAAAGTCACCTAATGAAACTGACGAAGAAACAAATGACAAAATGAAATGAAGTTCACATTCATCGATTTATTCCAAATGATCGTTAGACTAAGTAAGGCACAGACTGACCATTATAAGGGTAAAATGATACCCGGGGTCAAACAGCAAAGTTACCACAGCATCACATCCAAGTCAGTAACGGGTAAATCCTCCTCTGTTTGCCAAACAAGCATTGATCCGACGTGGCATACGCCTAATGAGACGTCTAAGGTCATTTTGGTCCAGATTGTCCCATTCCTGTTGCAACGCAGCAGCAAGTTCTTGGACATTGGCAGGACGTTGTTGACGTTGACGTAACCTCTGTCCAAGCATGTCCCAGACATGCTCGATGGGGGAGAGGTCGGGACTCAGTGCTGGCCAAGGTAATGTGGTGATGTTCTGTTGTTGGAGGTAACCTGTAACGATCCTGGCCCTGTGACATCTTGCGTTGTCATCCTGGAAGATGAAACGGCGGCCGTGACGTCGTGCGAACGGCACAACATGGACTGCCAAGATGTTGTCCCGGTAGTACTGGCCTGTAACACGCCCTGCAACAACATGTAAAGCCGTTCTTCCAGCAACAGTGATGCCTCCCAAACCATAACAGAACCACCCCCAAATCGATCATGTCTGATGACGTTAACGTCTTGGAAGCGCTCGTTTCGACGACGCCACACCCTTTTACGTCTGTCCCAAAAATCAACAGTGAACCTTGACTCATCTGAAAACATCACATTGCTCCAGCGTCGATTATCCCAGTGTTGACGATCCCTACACCAACGACGTCTTGCCTGAATGTGATGATCTCTCAAACAAGGGATCACGCGAGGACGTCGGGCGCGAAGGTGACCCCTATGCAGTCGATTCCGAATCGTCTGGCCACTCACTCTCACACCAGTGTCTGTTTGAAGATGAGCGCTGATCTGATTTGCTGTGATGACACGATTTCTCAAGGCCAAGGTACGGATAAATCGATCCTGGGCTTGAGTTGTTGCCCTTGGTCGACCTGAGCGTGGTCTGTCCTGTACAGATTGTGTATCACGGTATCTGGACCATAGCCTGCTTATGACAGACTGAGAAACATTCATCGTCCGCGCCACAACCGCCTGTGTTGTGCCGATCTGTAGCATGCCAAGGGCACGTAACCTTTCATTTTGGGTAAGCCAACGCATATCAAAATTTGTTTTCTGGTCACTAAAACAATTAAACTGATGTTTCCACCCTGGAATTCAATGCCACAATGACTGTAACATTCAAAGTCAGAGTCGTGCAAATCTTGGGTTGGACCCCCATGATGATCCCAAGCATCACCTGCATTCCATGCGGTAGCTATTGGTGCGTTTGGGCGTCACATGTAACTGGAAATGTTTCTTGTTAGGTTCTATAGTGACTTTTTTCGTAGTCATTTGCATATTTTAGTATTATGCCCCCAAAATCAAATATCCCCTACTTTTTTTGAATAGTATATATTTTAAGTTTCATCAAAATTTGATAAAACATTTGAGCCGTTGGATGGTTTACAACCTGGGTATTACGATCAGATTTAAATATCGAGGGTTTAGAACATAATTGTGATAAGTCAATATATCAAGCATTGTGACTTATCACAATTATGTTCTAAACCCTCGATATTAAAGCCACCAGGAGATTTCGTCAAGGTCACAAGATGTAATCAGGGCTAGGGCACATGATTGTTGCTGAGGGTTAGGGTAAGGGCCAGATCTCAGGTTAGGATTGGCGCTATCCCTGTTTACATCTTGTGACCTTGGAGAAATCTGTAGATGGCCTCAATATTTAGATCTAACCTGGGTATTACATGCATTTAGGGGGCTGACCATTTTGTCAGGCAGCTCGGTCCGATTTTCAGAAAATGTGAACTCAACCGTAATTATGGTACAACGGTGAAATATTCGAATGCCTTTTAAATCGGATAAAAATTGTAACCTGCACAAGCTAAAAACGGGATTTTTCGTACAACCAGGGGCTATAATCTAGGAAGTTACAATCCGATATGCGTGAATATGGAAAGGACGAAAATTGTGACCTCTAGAGTGTCCGTAAGCTTCATAATCCATGAAGTTATGGTCCGATTTATGCCAATATCGAAAGTAACAAAGCCAATATCTTTGGGAGATAGACCTATTTTTCAAGTTTCGTTAATATCGGATGAAAATTGTGACCGGATACAGTTGAACGGTTTTTACAATCAAATAAAACCTGTTACTTCTACAGGGGCCATAATCCAGGAAGTGAGGGTCCTATATGCGCCAATATCGAAAGGAACCAAGGATTAAACCACCATAGATTGTGTTTTCATGGTAAGGGAGTTAAGAAAATTTGTTTTCACTTCATTAGTGAGTAGTTTTATTAGCCAGAAATCGTTCAGAAAGCATCTCCAACGATCTAGACCCCTAAGACGTTCCGGGGCCTAGGCCGCCCCTGGACCCTCGCCTAAGGACCTAGGATGATAGTCCCCCCCCCCCAAATCAAGAATTGCTTCCGCCCCGATTTAAAGCCTCTGATCGTCATTCGAGGGATTCTTTAATCCATTGTAAACTAGAATATTGTGTAGTCAAAGCTCTAAAGGGAATATTAATCCAAAAATGGTTCATTTCCGTGCAAGATGTACATAGATATGTGAACTGAAAATATATCAACATTTGCCAGAGGAGATAAATGGAATATGGTGAAATATTCTGTATTGTAAAATAAAGGGAAAAAAATCCAAATCTATTGATAAATCAATTTTATTCATAAAATTGCCACCATAAATGAAAGAAATGGCACTATTGCGTGACTTAGGAATTGCTACAGCAAGAGACAAACATAAATATATGTTAGAGGAATGATGTATGTTTAGCTATAGTATAAATAAATATTTCTAGATAACACATTCAATCCATTCAAATAATATACATATTATCGTCTTTGTAATAAAAACACACATTAATCTTCAGGTTCTTTTGGACAATGTTTCCATGTTAACCAATAAAAGTTTTAATAAAATGGATTGAACAGCTACCACCATAATATTAAAACACTACAGTAGCACAAAACAAATATATAAAACTATTCCAGATACAAAGTAATTTTGACAAATCTGTGACCATTGAGATATACAAAAGGCTAACACTAAAAATGTCTGATTTTCGATGAGTAAATACATGTTTTGCCCATCTATGTTTGCTTTTAAAACAAACCCAATGCAGATACTGTTGTGACATTTATAATACAAATAAAATATAAATTTGAAATGAAGTTTAGGCTCTAAAATTAAAAATATAATGCTTGTATGTTGGTAATAATTAACAGACTTTTTATGAACTCAAATAAAGAATGACCCAGTTATATCTAAAATTAGAAGGTCAGTCATTCTGCAGAACATATCAGAAACCAGATTGATTTCAATGGCAATAATTGAAATATCTAAAAACAAAAAAAGACTTCTTATATAAGTTTGTCTACCACATTCCCCATTTACCGACACATATCTCTACTACAAGATATTAAAGACTTTCTACACTATTAGAACAGAAACTTAGCATTCTAATAATCTACAATAATTACTCCCTTCCCCATTCTCCTACAATGAATAATGTATTTAATTTATATAATATACACCAGGCAGTAATATCGGAATTCTATCTGTTGCCTTAGTATATAATTTCTATCATTCAAGTAACACAACATTCCACATGTCCCACATTCTGTGCATGCTCGCAGATGATTAGAAGGCTCTGCAAAGGATCAAATCCATGTTCCACAGAGGATAATAATGCACAAAACATAGGGGCTGTAGAATGTTGTTGTACTGTATAATTATGTTTACTGGATCTACTGGAAGCTATTATTTGATTTATAATACACAATGTGTAATTAATTAAAACCCATACACTTATGAATACATGTATATCTATTTAATAAAAAAATTCACACCATTCTTTTTTATCACTAAAGTTTTCAAAATACTTTTGGTGTTATTACATAATATATATCATTTCAATATTTAAGAAAATAAAAATAATTATTAAATATATCATTTGTAAAATTCATTTCTTTTTAAAAATCACACTATAAAGAATAATGGGTTGAGACCTTTAAAATACATTTCTTTTGTAGATATAAATAAATAATATAGGTATAATATCTTTGTGATATACAGGTATATAGTATTTTAGCTTGATTTTGTTTTACAACATTCTGTAAATATATATATATATATACTTTCGTGTACACTGATTTATGTTGCAAAATATAACTTAGATGTCTTTTCCTACATTATATATCTATTCAAATATTGATTTGACTGTCATTATAACATATGAAAGTAATCATCCGTAGCCCACATTGAGTAGGTTGGGGAACAAATTGAAGAAATTTGGACAAACATCATCTAATCAACAAACCTATCAAATCTGGCAACGCCTAAAGATGTCACAACCTTCTGGAGCCAAGTGACTTAGAACAAATATGAACAAAAGAGAGAGAGAGAAATGGGGTTTAACGTCCACTCGACACAGGCTTATTTAAATAGTTGCTGAAATATAGATGATGAAATTCATCAAGCAGTTGAGGAGAAGTCAAAAATATATAACTTTGTAAAATCAAGGTGCCTCTTCCAAAAACCTATGAGACAGAGCAACTTCATTGAATAAATCTAAATAACTGAAAGCTAAGCAGCATTCATACCAATTTTGATAAAAAAAATATATATATTTGTCACTCTATGGTACCCCTGTCCAACTTAACTCCTATGGGATCAAGCCCTTATTATTTCAACAAAGTTTCATCTGTATCATTTAAAGATGGGTTCCCAGAAAAGTATTTATCAGGTGGTTATTTCCAATAAAAGTATGGTAATTTTGGTATATATGGAAAGTTAGAGATATCCAATCTGACTAGAAAAATACTGGATTCCCCGAAAAACACTCATGGAGCGTATACAGGACAAAAATGTAAGGGTTGCCCTAATTGACAGTCCGACGATTAGGAATTTCAGCATGGGTGATGTCAAAGGTCACACGCGAACATTGAACGCTTGATGTACAAGTTGATAAACTTTATGAAGAGTTAGACTACAACACTTTCTGAGATAAAAATGACGGAAAAAGACGCGGGTAGTGGATAATCCAAGAATTTAATCAGGATTCGATATTTATAATAAATAGTAAGCGATTAAAGACAACATCGTCTTAAGTATGCAATGAATTCTCCTTGGACTTCCAAGAGAGGAAAGTCATGTGACGTAAATATGACCTGGTTTGATAGCAGGACATTCCTTCGCAATTACAATGTTTGAGAATTATGACAAATTAATTAGTTTGAATATGTTTTTAGTCCATATATACCATTAAATCACCCAGTTTGTACACAGGAACCCATCTTTAAGGTCAAATTCAACAAAATTCTAAAATCCATTCAGCAATTTAAGATATTTGAACAAATCTGAGTATAACACAACCAAATTTTGTTAAAATCTTAAATGCTTTAAGAGAAGACATTGAAAAACACCATTTGTAGCATAACAGGCAGGTAGATTTTCACTAGGGATTAAATTTCTATATTTTAATAAATATATTCATATGAAGTATAACATGTTTTTCATTGTGTTGAACAGCTGAATCATTTGCATCTATTCCATTAATTAATTTTTTTTAACAGAACCTAATACATATTTTATTTATTAAAAATATATATAAACTCTAAATAATAATAATTGAGTATGCTTAACAATAAGGAATACTGAACAAAAATCAATAACAAAATATATTTAGTGAATTACCTCTGTAGGGAGATCTCCAGGAATTATCTAACAAACATTATAACAATTAACTTGATAACCGCTTCTAACAATATATAATTCACACCCAATATATACATATAACACTTTATATAAATCTCATTAAAATTGCACTTTTATTTTTATATCTATATACATGTCTGGATAATAGAAACTTTAAGGGGAAATAATAAACATTGAAAGACAGGGATGAAATATAAACTGTATATTTATATACATTAACATAGCTATTGAACTAATAACTTTTAATCCCTTGCGAAGTGATTCAGATTTGATTTAAAATTCCCTCATATTGTTTCACACAGATTAGGATTCTTTAGTTTCAAGATGGCAGCAGAACACAAATCAACTATAGTTTGTCTTGTGCAAATGAAATTAGAAATCTATGAGTGGCAAGTAGCCGTCCCAGATTTCTCTCATGAAGCATTTCCCTCATGAAGCGACTATTTTCTGATTCAGATTTGTCTTCTGCAAAAGCAAATCTAAATCAGAAGATAGGTTGCCAGGCAACGAAACATACGCCCACAGCAGCTAAGTCGCCCGAGCAGTCAACATGAGTTGTCGCATATTTTTACTTTTGTTGGTAATGAAACATTTATAATACACTAAAATCTGATTAAGAGTAACAAATTACCAAAATTCACTGAAAATCAATATTATTGTTTTTCTAAAGACCTTAAACTCTGTTTATCAATCTAAAGTGAATCGGATGATAACTTTGGTCTCTAGAGCATCCACAAAATTTTTCAAAATGATCAAAGGCCATAACTTCTTCATCTCACGACCTTTAACACTGTGTATAAATCTTGGATTGTGAAAATCTCATTTAAGATGGTGGAAATTGACTCTACATCCATGAAAAGCATAATTAGACACATTACAAGCCATACCTGACTTTTCTGAGTGATCTGTCAAGCTCAAAACGTCCAAAAATACAGAAAATGGCAGTAATTTTAGAAAATTAAGTTTGACCCCAAGGTGATGGGTAGAAACCTTAGAAATTACGAAAAAAGTGAAACACCCTAATGCTAACGTTCAGTATACAAAACATTTAATATCATGGAGTTAGCTGTTTAAGTTATCAGAAATCGTTGAAAATCAATAGATGTCTTCGTCTCATGACCTTAAAAACTGTGTATAAATTTAAAGTCAATCAGATATTAACTTTTGCCTCTAGAGCGTCCACAAGCAATTGTGGACGCTGTGCTGGCCGATGGACGGGGGGAGACGACAATATACGACCACATTTCAATGTGTGAATCCAAATAAATATAAAGAGAGAGGAATTCAAAACCATTTGAATAACATAAACTTAGATGAGATCCAAGTCATAATAAACTTGATACGGTGACATCAGTAGTAGGAGTGGTTAAAACAAAGTCTTGGGTATCACAAAACCATCTTTATAGAATCTAACGTTTCCCAAGTGTAAAAACTTACTTCTTCAGGGAGTACAACTACACAAATGATGCATTTGAAGTACAAGGGTAGTCATGGTTACCAATCAAACTCAACCATCATTAAGGTGTAACGGTGATATACTACCAGCGGCTGCCAGGCAGGATACGCCCACATTTTGCAAGATAGAGAACAAGTTAATCAAAAAGCGATTTGTCGTACAATCAGGGGCAATAATTCAGGAAGCTACGGTCCCATATGTGCGAATATTGAAAGGAACCAAGATCTTGGGGTTATAAACTTACATTTCAAGTTTCATCAAAATCAGAAGAAAATTGTGACCTCTAGAGAGTCCACAACTTTGATATATCATATTTTTTACGCTATTTGAGTACGAGGGGTGGCCATTTTGTCTTGTCAGTTTTGGTCCTATTTTTACGAAATTCGAACTCAACCATCCAGAGGGTGTAAGGTGATATATTCAAACGTTTTTTTTAAATCGGATAAAAATTATGACCTCTATAGGGTCCACAAGCTAAAAACATGATTTTTCCGTACAATCAGGGGCCATAATTCCGGAAGTTACGGTCCAATATGTGCGAATATTGAAAGGAACCGAGATCTTTGGGTTATAAACTTACATTTCAAGTTTCATCAAGATCAGAAGAAAGTTGTGACCTATAGAGAGTCCACATCCTTGATATATCATATTTTTACGCTATTTGAGAACGAGGGACGGCCATTTGTATCTGTCAGTTTTGGGTCGATTTACACGAAATTCGAACTATTTGAGTACGTAGGCGGTCATTTTGTCTGTCAGTTTTGGTCCGATTTTCACGAAATTCGAATTTAACCATCTTTAGGGTGTAAAGGATATATATTAAAACGGTTTTTGAAATCGGATAAAAATTATAACCTCTATAGGGTCCACAAGATAAAAACACAATTTTGCGTACAATCAGGAGCCATAATTCAGGAAGTTATGATCCGATATGCGCGAATATTGAAAGAAACCGAGATCTTTGGGTTATAAACTTACATTTCAAGTTTCAACAAAATAGGATAAAAATTGTGACTTCTAGAGGGTCCACAACCTTGATATATCATATTTTTACGCTATTTGAGAACGAGGGACGGCCATTTGTATCTGTCAGTTTTGGGTCGATTTACACGAAATTCGAACTCAACCACCCTTAGGGTGTAACGGTGATATACTAAAACGTTTTTTTAAATCGGATGAAAAGTATGACTCTATAGGTTCCACAAGCTAAAAACGTGATTTTTCGTACAATCAGGGGCCATAATTCAGGAAGTTACGATTGGATATGTATGAAAATCGACAGGAACCAAGATATTGGGGTTATGAACATGCATTTCAAGTTTCATCAAAATCAGGTGAAAATTGTGACCTCTAGAGAGTCCACATCCTTGATATACCATAGGTTTACACTATTTGCGTAATTCAGGAAGTTACGATCTGATAGACGCGAATATCGAAAGGAACTGAGATCTTTGGGTTATAAACATGCATATCAAGTCTCATCAAAATCAGGTGAAAATTGTGACCTCTAGAGAGTCCACATCCTTGATATACCATAGGTTTACACTATTTGCGTAATTCAGGAAGTTACGATCTGATAGACGCGAATATCGAAAGGAACTGAGATCTTTGGGTTATAAACATGCATATCAAGTCTCATCAAAATCAGGTGAAAATTGTGACCTCTAGAGAGTCTGATTTTCACGAAATTCGAACTCAACCATCATTACGGTGATATATTCACACAATTATTTTTTTAAATCAGATAATAATTGTGACCTCTAGATTTTCCATTCAGTCAAGGGCCATAATTCAGGAAGTTATGGTCCGATATGCGCAAATATCGAAATGAACCAAGATCTTTGGGTTATAAACATGTATTTCAAGTTTCATCAAAATCGGATAAAAATTTTGAGCTTTAGAGGGTCCACAACCTTGATCTACCATATTTTTACACTGTTTGCGTACGAGGGTCGAACATTTTGTCAGATTTTCACGAAATTCAAACTCAACCGTAATTAAGGTGTAACGGTGATATATTCAAACGTTTTTTAAATCGGAATAAAATTGTGACCTCCATAGGGTCCACAAGCTAAAAAAACGTGATTTTTCGTACAATCAGGGGCCATAATTCAGGAAGTTACGGTCAGATATGCGCGAATATCAAACAGAACCAAGATCTTTGCGTTATAAACTTACATTCCAAATTTCAACAAAATCAGATAAAAATTGTGACCTCTATAGGGTCCACAAGCTAAAAATGCGATTTTTCAAACAATCAGGGGCCATAATCCATGAAGTTACAGTCCGATAAATGCCAATATCGAAAGGAACCGAGATCTGAAGGTGATAAACCTATATTTCAAGTTTCATTGAAATCGGATAAAAATTGTGACCTGTAGAGTGTCCAAAAACAAGGGTGGACGGCCGTCAGGACGGACAAGGGCGACGACAATATAGGTCCACATGAAAATGTGGGCGTAAAAAAAGTTATATTACTTCTGTCAAGATATAACATTGCAAACTTTAATCAAGTTGATTTGGAATTTATTTTAAAATTATCACAAAAAAAAAAAATAATATATAAAGTTAATTTTTTAAAACATAAATTCCATATGAAAAAGGCTCTTTGTTTACAAACTGTATTATATAATATAAGCAGGCTTCATTCTTTTGACTAGAAGTAATAGTTTTTAAATCATTGCCCTTTGTCTTTGGATAGCAATGTTTTTATTCTAAAAGGATTTCTTTGCAGAAAGAAAAAGACGTTTAAGTTTGATATGAGACAATGAATAAACAAATCATTTAATTTATTAAATAAGCATAAAATGATTATGTATTAAGAGATACTACCCAATTCCACACATGAGAACTGGGTATGAACATTTCATATTCTTCTAAAAAGTTAACCTTGTACCCAAAAGTAATACCCAATTTCAAAATACGAAATGAAAACTCTACTACAATTATGAATGGTAAAAACCATAAAACAAAAGTTATGCAAAATAGAAATGGTTATTTTTTCTTTTTTTTCTTCTCTTCTTTCAATTTTTTCTTTCTCTCTTTCTCAGCTTCTTTTTCTAATTTCTTTTCCCTCTTTTCTTCTTCCTCTAAATACTTGGGATTTTCTTTTAATTTTTCTTCGATGCTAAAAGATAATTAAATATATTTATGGACCAATAGAATGTCATTTTAAATGTACGGTAATCATCTTATATACATCTAGATGGAAACAAAATGTAATACAAAAAAGTGTAGAAATGAGCACAGCTAACATTAGTAACATACATCTTTCCCCTGCCCATCTATGTAGCTTTTTTAGTATGTATTCAAGAACTGAATAGAATTTCGGTAGATACAGAATTTAGTGACTTCCACATTATTATACTATGGAAACCTTCATCCTTCCCACCAAATTAGTTCAACTCGTTTTGTTGAAAAAAAGAACAAAATATAAATTTTAACTAAATTGCAAATTAAGTTTTATAAATGGCCATACACTTTTGATCATGTAGATATATCCTGTTTATTGTACTGATGCAGTTGCTACACTTTGGGTTTGAACACTGTCAACATTGGGATTTCATGTGATTTTTACCTCTTAAAACCATCAGAAATGCCAATGCTATATTTAAAAATCAGCCTTTTTCTGCCACAGACCTATCAAATGTTCTATCTTTTAGATTGTCACCATCAGTTAAAGATAGGTTGCCAGGCAACAAAACATATGCCCACAGCAGCTAAATTGTCTGAGTGGTCGACAAGGTTTGTCGCATATTTATTCTTTTGTAGGTAATTGGGTGCATTTACAAGACAGTTTCATACAGATCAGATTATAATTCTTGTTGTTTGAGGATTCCCAAGGTTCTACAAACTGAAACAAGGGCCTGAACTCTGGAGGTAATTTACAGAAAATTTTGAAATTTTACAGGCTTTTTTGTTTACTAATTTAAATAATGCATATAAATTTCATACAGATCAGATGATAACTTTTGTCATTCGAAAGTTCACAAGGTTCACAAAGTAAAACAAGGGCCATAATTGACGGGAATTGCTGAAATTCAATAGTCCTCCATTTCAGAAATTTAAATGATGAATATAAATTTCATACATATCGGATGATAACTTTCATCAATCGGGCATTAACAAGGTTGAACAAAGTGAAACAAGGGCCATAACCCTAGAAGTAATCATTGTAAATGGCTGAAATTCAATAGGTTTCGTGGGTTTCACTAATCTAAATGATGCATATCAATTTCATACAGATCGGATGATAACTTTTGGGGTTAGAGCGTTCACAAGGTTTAACTTTAAGTGAAACAAGGGCCATAACTCTAGACGTAATAAACTTAAATTGCTAAAATTCAATAGGATTCTTCTTTTTACTAATTTAATTGATGCATATAAATTTCATACAGATCGGCAGTTAATTTTAGATGTTAGAGCATTCACAAGATTCAACAAGGGCCATAACTTTAGAAGTAATAAATGGAAATCGCTGAAATTCAATAGGATTCTTCTTTTTACTAATTTAAATGATGCATATAAATTTCATACAGATCAGCAGATATGTTTTGAGCGTTCACAAGGTGAAACAAGGGCCATAACTCTAGAAGTAATTAACGGAAATTGCTGAAATCCAATAAGATTCTTCTTTTTACTAATTTAATTGATGCATATAAATTTCATACAGATCGGCAGATATGTTTTGATGTTAGAGCGTTCACAAGGTGAAACAAGGGTCATAACTCTAGACATAATTAACGGAAATTGCTTAAATCGAATAGGCTTCTTCGTTTCACTAATTTTTAAAAATAATGCATATAAATTCCACAAAGATCGGATGATAAGTTTTGGCGTTAGAGCATTCACAGGATTCAATAAAGTGAAACAAGGGCCATAACTCTAGAAGTAATAAACGGAAATTGCTGAAATTAAATAGGATTCTTCATTTCACTAATTCAAATAATGCATATAAATTTCACAAAGATCGGATGATAATTTTTGGTGTTAGAGCGTTCACATGGTTCAACAAAGACATAATAAACGGAAATTATTGAAATTTAATAAACGGAAATTGCTGAAATTCAATAGGCTTCTTCGTTTCACTAATTCAAATAATGCATATAAATTTTACAAAGATCGGATGATAAGTTTTGGTTCACATGGTTCAACAAAGTGAAACAAAGCCATAACTCTTAAGACATAATAAACGGAAATTATTGAAATTTAATAGGCTTCTTCCTCTCACTAATGTAAACAATATATATCAATTTTAAAACAATCGGATGATAACGTTTGGCTTTAGCGCGTTCACAAGAAATTGTGGACGACGGGACAACGGACTGACAATATATGCCCACATTTCCATGTGGGCTTAAACGACCCAGTAATTTATTTATTCACTAATTGAAAATCCTGGAATCTGACCCATCTGATAGTGCCAGAATGGTCATAGCAGCTATTGTCAGACCAGCTTTGAAATAAAATGTACTTATTGTATTTCAAATACACTCATTGATTCTGCTTTCAGGTGTGTGCTTCAATATGCCAATGGATGAATTTCATTGTAAATGACATACAAGAAAAATTTCAAGATGATTTGCTGTAATAAAGTCAAAGACAATCTAGTGCCAAGGAAATATTAATTTGCAGTAACTCGCCCTATGAAATTTAAAGGGCTGTTATAATCATTTAAACTACTTTTTGACCAATCAGACTTGCTGTCTTCATACACATTGTGACCTACACAAGATTAATGTTAGCTGGGTTCACTTGGGAATTCATATGCCTTACACTTTCAAATAGTTTTGGATAATGATGAGTCAACTTTGTATAAATGCGTGTTTCTCAGCAACTACAGAACCAATTAACTTCACCAAGCTCGAATTTAGCAAATAAAGAAATATACACTAGTATAATGTCCCTTAAACACAAGTACAGGTAGACAGAGCTTTTGTACCATGATTACTTTATATGCAATAGATGTGCTATCAAGTATTAATTCATAAAATACTATATACAGCGCGAATAAAATACATATTGTTCTATTAAAAAATTTTTTTTAAGATAAGATTATAAATAAAAGTAATACTATTACAAATTACCAGAAAATAAAACCATTAAAAACCAGCGGCTGCCAGGCAGGATACGCCCACATTTTGCAAGAGATGGATAGAGAAGAAGCTCAAAACAAAACAGGATTTTTTGTACAATCAGGGGCAATAATCCAGAAAGTTATGGTCTAAAATGCCCAAATATCAAAAGGGACTGAGATCTTTGGGATATAAAGGTATGTTTTAAGTTTCATCAAAATCGGATAAAAATTTTGACCTCTAGAGAGTCCACAACCTTCATAATAGCATACTTCTACACAATTTGCGTACAAAGTCCGGCAGTTTCATTTCGATTTTTCCAAAATTCGAATTCAACCTTCATTATGGTGGAATGGTGATATATTTAAACGGTTTTTAAAATTGGAAAAAAAAATAATTGTGACCTCTAGAGAATTTGTATGCTAAAAATGTGATTTTTTGAACAATCAGGAGTCATAATCCAGGAAGTTACGGTGTAAAGGTTATATATTCGAACGTTTTTATTAAATCGAATAATAATTGTGACCTCTAGAGGAACCACAAGCTAAAAACGAGACTTTTTGTACTCAGGGGCCATAATTCAGGAATTTACGATTCGATATGCACGAAAATAGAAAGGAACCAAGATATTTGGGTTATAAATATGCATTTCAAATTTCATTAAAATCAGATGAAAATTGTAACCTCCAGGGGATCCACAACCCTGATACACAATATTTTGACACTATCTGCGAACGATGGGTGGCCATTTGTCCGTCAGTTTTGGTCCGATTTTTACGAAATTCGAACTCAACCATCCTTAGGGTGTAACGGTGATATATTCAAACGGTTTTGTAAAACGGATAAATATTGTGACCTCTATGGGGTTCACAAGCTAAAAACGTGATTTTTCGTACTATCAGGGGCCATAATTCAGGAAGTTATGGTCCGATATGTGCGATAATCGAAAGATATTGGGGTTATAAACGTGCATTTCAAGTTTCATCAAAATCAGATGAAAATTGTGACCTCCAGAGGATCCACAACCCTGATAGGCAATATTTTGACACTATTTGCGAACGAGGGGCGTCCATTTTGTCCGTCAAGTTTCGGTCCGATTTTTACGAAATTCAAACTCAACCATTCTTAGGGTGTAACGGTGATATATTCACACGTTTTTTTGAATCGGATAAAAATGTGACCTTTATGTGGTCCACAAGCTAAAAACGTGATTTTTCGTACAATCATGGCCCATAATTCAGGAAGTTATGGTCCGATATGCACGAATATCGAAAGGAACCGAGATCTGTGGATTATAAACATATATTTCAAGTTTAAACCAAATCGGATAAAAATTGTGACCTCTACAGTGTTCACAAGCTAAAAACGTGATTTTTCGTACAATCAGGGGCCATAATCCATGAAGTTACAGTCCGATACATGTCAATATTGAAAGCAACCGAGATCTTTGGGTGATAAACCTATATTTCAAGTTTCATTGAAATCGGATAAAAATTGTGACCTGTAGAGTGTTCACAAACAATTGTGGACGGACGGACAGGAGCGACGACAATATACGTCCACATGGAAATGTGGGCGTATAAAAAGTTATACTAATACAAGAAGAGAAATAAAACTCTTAAAATAAAGGTAACCATTAAAAAGTCTTTTACACAAAAGAAACAAAAAGCCCAGAAAGTCAAATGTCTACTCTTTTCTCACACAACCAGTGTTTGGAATAAAAGAATCAAAGCGGATTATATGGATTAAGCTATATAATTTTATAATGCTATTAAAAAAAATTGTTCATCTTGAAAAGCTAATAAACATAGTATACTACAGACGAAACTATCTCTTAGAAGTATTGTTCCAGTGTGTAAAGAGCTTAAATAAACACAACCAAGCATTTCAGTCAATGTTTAAACCTCGAAAAGTAAATTAGCACAATATTTAATGATACGACGGCTGGCTGAAAAGTTCTAAGCCTGAAAAGGATAGAACAATTGGGGTGAAACAAACTTTTGCCACCAACAAGTACAATCATTGAATGAATCATATACATAAGAACTGCAAC